TACCATTTCATTTAAGCTGCACTTTAAAAGAGAGGAAATCTGTGCTATTTATGGGAATGATGCAGTACAATATTTGATCAATGAAATTTTCAATATCTGGCATATTTAGGTTACATATAACATTTCAATACTATATATAAAATATATATTTGAAGCAACATACACATTGGAATCAAAAGGCTATCTCACAAAGGTGTTTAAGGAAAAATTTTCAACAAGTCTGTTGCTTAACAACAATGGGTAAAAATCAAATACCAATGAGGTAAAATGAAAGAATATTATCATACTCTTCTTAGTTTCCTAACATGGGGAAGGAAACTGATAAAATTTCTCCTGAACAGAGGATAACATGAGAAAATTTCCCCTAAACACAGCTATTTTCTTGTCTTGTCAAAACAACCTCTTGAAACTCAGGATTAGGGTTTTTAAAAATGGGAGTATTTATTTCTTATATTATTATATAGTTATTATTATTTAATATAATTATGCATAGAAGATTCCTTAATCTCAAAATTTTTTTATTTTAGGGAATCCTTGTAAAAAATAAAGCAAAACACTGAGACTCGGATAAAAAAAAGAATTTTAGTGAGGAATAAAGGATTACTAGGATTCTATTAAAACTTCACACATCATTACCAAGGTCAATTTTGCAGGGAAGATAAGATTAAAATACTGGTTTTAATTTTAAGCCAGATTGAAAAAATTTAATAATTATTCAACCCAAATTAATAATAATGTGAATTCTTTCATTTCTAAAAGTTTGATTTGACCTTTATTGGCAGGGTGCATAGCGTTTTTAAAATGTGCTTAAAGGTACTCATTTTCAATTTTTAAAAGCTCTTAAAGGTGTTTTTTTCCATGGGTGTTTTTAAAAAGTGCTTAATTTTCCCTTTTCCGAAATGTGATATTTTCTTTACCATGCTGATTTTCGCCACAAATTATGCAAAAAGACATTGTCCTATTCAACGTTTTCACAATGAATTCTACCCCAATCTACGATATTTTGGCGTACCATCGGTCTGTAGTGCATGAAAACACCATTTGTTGTACATGTTTGATGAAAGACTTGCAGGCCCGAACTTGCGTATACTGAGCTGGACTCTGTCTCACATGTGCAACCCTGCTGGATTTTGCGAGAGATTCTCAATTTCAGACTTCATTTTCTGCCCTCTATAATAGAATCGAAAAATCTCTCGAATTTTTGTGATTATGGTTACCAACTAAACATTGTCAATTTTTTTTCTCCATTAGTGATAGAAAATTTAATTTCTCTTGTTAATTGCATCGTTTGTGACACGTCATCGTCACTGTAAATAAAACCAGATAAAATCATCAATTGTCAAAAACTTTCCAACCCTGTCAATCTATGATATTTTTCAAAGTGCTTAAAAATATTTTTTGAGTGCTTGAAAAGTGCTTAGAAGGTGCTTATTTTTTGGTGAAAAATTTGGCTACACACCCTGATAGGCATTGACCTATGTTTTTGCACTTAAATATGAATTTGTAACTCTCAATGAGAAATCTTTTTCACAGTTTTTACAAGCATTTTAAAAATATATAACTGCAGAATAATGAAAATGTCATGGGTTTACTGTTCACAGTTTACTAGATAGTGAATTATTAATAAAGTGAATATTAAGTTTCGAATTGCATTTATATCCTAAAATTAAAAATCTGACAAAATTTAATTGAGCTTATTTTTTATACAAAAGTAGCTTTATGAGATACATTTATGTTTTTAATGAAACTGGAATTATATTTCCTGAAACATACATGAGAATTGCCAATACAACTCAAAAGATCTGCCAATATAATTAAAAGATTAAAAAAATCTTCATATAATTAAGTAAAATTAATTACTTTCTTCTAATCTGCATTTACAACTATCAAAAAGGTAATATTTGTTTTAATATTAACTCTTAAATCTGATTTGAATTAATTTTTTTCTAAATCAAGTATAAAAGTAGTAATATTATCAATAATAAAAGCAATAATTTTATTTGGGATCAAAAATCAATTAATCCATATTGGACTTGTTTTACTCTGATTCTCAATGGACTATAATAATGTAAGAGATAAAATGCTGAAATGAGCAATAAGTTCAGTTCAACCCGGCCACAAGTTCAATTTAATCTAGGTTTCAAGAGGATGATAATAATTAATGCCTAAGCATTATAGACAAGTATCCAATGCAAAAGAACAAAGATACATTTACACTGTAAATTACAATGTTTGCCATTAAAGAAATAGCAAATAAACTTTTATACACATTATACAATAACATATGAATGAATATGCAATGAAGACATAAAAATGAAAAGTGGTTGTAAGTATTACTGATTGATAAAACCATTATCACAGTTCCCATGACTAGATTGTTTACAAGCTTTACATCCTTTCTTTGAAAATTCTGCGCTATATTACAACTAGGGATGTACCCAATATTTAGCCAAATTTTGTTTAATTTTTAATGCAGATGTTTCGTTAGTAGGTTGACATTGGTTTCAACAATTAGTAACTAATGATACTGCATTACTTAGTATGATACTGCATACTAAGTTTTTCCTAGTTACATCAGGCTGACCTAGTAAAAAAAAAAACTTTCTTATCCAGGTACTGAAACTGGCAACTACTCAGAATTCGGTACGTCTCTAGGTAAAATGCAAACCTCGTTTTATAATTTATATACATACATACACATCAATCAAATTGCTTAGCATTTTAAGTTATAAAAATCTCAGTATACTCTTGATTACTTATGTGTAGACAAAAATAATTGACAGAAAAAGAACATAAGTGTAAAATATTTCATGTTAGAGGGTCCAGCAGAATGAATGGCAACTCGCACTTCCTCTTCAGAGTATGTTCAAGCTGACACAAATTTGTTCTAAACAGCATGCTTGATATAGATAAATGTAAAAGTTTTCATACTTTTATCTCCTTTGTACCATTAACTCATAAAAAAATAATTAGATATGCACAAAAAACTGATTTTTTGAGGCAACTTTATCTTACTTTTTTTGTACACCTTTGTTCTTCTGACTTAAAACCATGATACAAAAATTAATGTTTATACTGATGTTTGTTTTGTTACTATGCTGATAACAAAAAGAATGTATACAAAAGCATTTGTACATAAAGGCATAAGCAAAGGCATTTGCACAATATTAATCTGAGTATCTTGATTTTTTTTTCCGTGCTGAGATTAACAAGAGTATGCTGCACTTAACTTTAAATTTTTATCTAACACATAATACATTTTGATGGACTGATAAAGGGGCATACAGGTAATGATTTATTTAAAGGCTATAATGTAATAAGAAGTTACTTAAAATTAGGACAATTGAATTTCAAAAATACTTTAATCGAGGGGTGAAAAAATGTTTTTTTCTTTAACTCACACAGTGTTCCTATTTGGTTAAGTCAGCATTGAAATTTCTTAACACACAATTTCCTCATTGAATAGCAAGGGTTTAAAAACAATAAAAAATAAGTCTCTGATCTTTAATGAGAAAGTGTATTTAAAGAAATTCCTGTACAAATTTTTCCAAATCTGCAATGCTGATAGTTAAATTAAGCATATATGTAATGGCTAGTTATTACAAAATATGTTAACTATTTTTGTGAATATTGCTTCTGATGTTGTTAGAGTACATAATTCTTTACAGTGATGCTATGATAAAGAGTCTAACAATGATAAATGTAGATGATATTTATGATAACCCTAATACAGTTTTTTTAGATATAGTTAATTTTTGCATCCAAAAGTAATTGTAGTTCAAGAAATATTTTCTCATTTTATTACATTGCAAGACCAAGTTTTGTCTCGTCCATCGTTCATTTTGCAAAACGAAATTAAAAACTGACAAATCAGAATTTTAAAAATTTGAAAAATTAAATATACATATGTACAATGCAAAATGTTATATTTATGAGCTATGCCATATTGGTATCAATATTTAAATTCAACAAGCTATACAAATTGAATATTTTACATAAATCTGTTATTGATATGTGTTTCTAATGTAATAAAATATTTCGTGATTTTATTTAATAAATAAAGGCACACTAAGTACAATGTAAATATTTCTCAAGCTATCATAAAGTGTCTTTGATTCTAAGTGAAAACTCGAAAATTATTCTTTCTTTTGAACAGAAACTTATTTTAGTAATATTTCTTAAAAAACTATAATTTATATTGTATTTTTTAAATTTTACAATAACAGATTTCAAAATGTTTTGAAATTTAAACTTATTTTTCAATGAACATCAATAAAATTTGCATAATTTTTTAAACAAATACTTTATACTCTATTAGAGCCTTTATATTTAAAAATTTAATAATTTATTTGGATTATGAAAGAATTACTGATTTATAAACTCAACTTATGACCAAAAGTAAAAAATGAAGCTCTGAAAACTTAATACAGAGTCCACAGAGATTTTGCAAAGTGTAAGATTGAAAACCACTGTACTTAAACAATATTATTATAGAAAAATAAATAGCAATAATGTGATAGATAGAATGCACTTTATATAAAAAAAGAGAATATATATATCTATATAATTTATCCTGCTCTTATGATATATTTTAATTACAATTGTTCTTAACATTTTCATTGACTTACATTAATGATCAACAAAATCAGTCGTTAGATATTTTTGAACAACTTAAACTTTTTTTGACAAATATCTTTTAGAATCTAAAACAGTTACTACTATAGAGTTCGTACTCCAATAAAAAAAACTTTTCACCTAACTTGTATCAACATTTTTACAAAAACAGATAAATTTTCTGCTGGATGCCAAAAAAATAATAATAACCTTGAATTTGTAAGCATCTTTACAATCGTAGATTAATTATTCTTCTGTCGGAGACAGCAAATTCGGCAAAACAATTTAAAAATATGGCAATCTGCAAGAAAATAAAAAGACCCAACAATGAAAAATTAGCACTTTTAAAGGATTTTAACATTTAAAAGAATTAAGAATTTTTAAGCCACTTTAAGAACCCATAAAAAAAACTTCAGTAATAGTTTTAAAGTTTAACCAAAAAATTTTTATGAAATTTGCTAAATGCTTCACCAATATTGAGTTTCACAGTTGAGTTTAAATATACGAAAAACTCTAGAACCTTATAATCAAAATGTCTATGACTAAAGAGAGGATTAAGTAGTTTTACAGTAATGTTATTGCATAGTATAGTATAAATGACATATATTGACTGCAAGATATCACAACAACCATTTTAACTTAGTGGGTAAGGCCCCTAAAACAAAAGGGACAGTAGTTTTGTAGACCTCATTTACATGACAATCAACAAGGGATGCCAATTTTTGGACAATAAAAGTTAAGATAAGTCACAAAAAGTTCGGGGAGCTATTGAGTGCTCTGATTTTATTCCATCTTGAAAAAACCTAAATCCCAACTGCTATGTGAACTTCAAGGCTGATATAGGCCTTATTTATTTTTAGCCGTGTCTCAGACAATAAAATTGTTAAAAAAACATTTTGTATTTTTTGTTGTATTTTTTTCAGAACACCCAATACAACCATGAAAGTAAGGTAAATAGCAAATAAAAATAATACCATTGTAGTTCAAAACAAATTCCAAACTAAATCATAAAGCAAACAGTGCACAAATTTGGAACTTACATCATTTAACAACCAAGTCTTGGCAGAATAATTTCTGTTTGGATAAGAACTATTTATGCCCACTTTCATCCTGAATAATTTATGCTTCAATCGCAAACAAAATATTTCATGTGCTGTTAATTATGTAGGCATATTAATTAAAATTTAATATTTACATGATAAAGGTTTAAAATTTTGTTTGCAAAATAAAATTTAAGAAAATCTTAAAAACCTAATTAGTGAGAGTTGTTAATTTTTGACAATGGACCATAGAACATTTATCAAAATTCAAAGTCCTTTTACAGGTCACTAGATATAATTTTGCTCCCAAGATGACTGAATTGTATTTGGGTTAATAATTTTATAAACTTGTATTGGAGATCCAAACAGCTCCAGTTTAATTACGACTAAAATGCAATTTTCTAATTAAAAATAAATCAAAGCTTATTATAAGGGGTGTAGGTTGCCCAAAACTAAAATTTGGACCTTAAAATTAATGATATAACTTTGTTTTAATTTGTTGAAAATTAAAACAGCTTCATATTTATTTAAAAACACCAAACTTGTTGGGAAGACAAAATCAATAACTTAAGTTATGAATTAAATATAGGTCAACAGTTTTGTATTACAACATGCAAACCATTTAATATACCTACAAAAAAAAATTATTAAATATTTTTTCTCTCTCATAAACTTAGCAAATTTTGATTATATGACACGGTGCCGGAATCAAGGCTGGTAACCCCAGTAATTGGCATCCCTGCATGCATTTAATATGGCACTGTTTTGATGGCATTCACAGTGGGCTGAGATCGCTAGTGGGCGTTTGCACTGCACTGCTGTTCACCTCTAAAGGCTGGGATTTGTCTTCACTGCTAGTGGAGGAATTCTGAAATGAGAGTGCTCTCTTTAGTGCATGCTTCCTCTTCTTTAGGGAAGACATGAAACGCGAGCTGGCACTCGAGTTCGAACTACCACCCTGTTTTTTACTCGTTGACCCTGATGGGGTCGCATCAGGTGGAGAGTCAGATTCTTGTGAGGAATTCTTTTTCAAAATTTTGATTTGGGGCAAACTAAGCTTTCGCTGCACTCTTTTATGTTGATGCCTGGCATAAGGTGTTTCAAAATTGATGCTCATAGCATCGAGATCTTTCTGGATGATGGGTATACTTTCAAAACAGCTTTCATCAATGTCTTTCAATACTGTACTCTCTGTAGATGGCAGAGTTTCTGAATTGCCAGAGTGTGTTTTAGCGTCAACGGTCAGGTGGCTTTGAGTTGAGTCTTCTGGTTTCGGGACCAAGCGAGGAGTACTGGAAGGTGAAGAACCTAAAATTATTTCTGCTTTCTGATCATCAATGTTACGAATGATGGGAGAGTTTTCTTTCATAGGAAAGGAGAATGGATCTGTTTGGCAATTTTGGTCTCTCTTTTTTGAATTGCTAGTCAATTTTTTGGTAGATTTTGGGCATTGAACAGGAGAATCAAAACTGCTGTTGTTATACTCCATTCGTCTTTTCTTTTTTGATAGAGAACTGCGGTGAAAATGCTACAAAAATGAAATGAAAAGTATTAAAAAATATTTTGATATGTAGAATTAAAAACAGTTAGGAAATATATTTTTATCCATACTTTAACAGCTTCTCGTCTTTGAAACTCCACTTTTGCCATTTTTGTAGCTACCCATTGTGGTACATCAGGAATAGCATATGCAATACCAAATTTAATAGACAAAATAATGTGCTGCAACAATAATGTCTCTTATAAGTTCATATATGTACATACAAAGATTTAAAATGAGTTGTTAATATAAAATTTCTCAACAAAATATGATAAACCTTATGCAAAACCAAAACAGATGTAAGTTATTAAATATTAGATAGTAACCTGATAGAATGAAGATGTTAGTTGAAAATAAGATAAATATAGGTATCAAAAAAATAACTTTAAAAAGTATAAATTTTAATTTAAAAATAAGCACATAATTGAAAAGTGCAAACTCATCATTTTGAAGTCATAAATAGATAATTTAAGAGCTGAACTACTACTTTATAATTTTACAATTAGATTTACGATTAGACTTTTTCAGATATAAGTCATTGAAAGTTTGGATTAAGAGATAGATAAACACATTCGTTTTTCTTTTCTTTTAAATCAATAGTTGTTAATATTTATATATCAATGGAAGTAAATTACCCCTTTAATGCTACACTGTATAGTTTAATTTAATACGTAAAATCTTTAAGCAACAAATAAATTTTTTAGGAACAATACGTTATATTTTTTAGAATTTGGACAACTACACTGTATAAAAAACAAAACACTTAAGTAAACAGTTTTACAAAATTTGAGTTAGTTTTCTTTGAGATATATCTAAAATTTATTTTTTTTATTAGTTAGAGATTTAAGATGTAAAATGAACACACACTAATTTGATAAAATTTTATGAATTCTCAAATGATATGACTTAGAACAGCTAAAATATCAGCTGTGTACCTTTAAGAGAAAAAACGGTTTTAGAATAAGGGATTGCAAAAACTACACAAACCTCTAATATTACAATTAGAATTATAGTTCCTTGAGTTGAAAGATTGGGAAACATTCTTTGGACTTGTCCTGACATGCCAATCAATGCACAATTTACTATAACAGCGATAACTCCCATCACTTCCATGGCATCCTATAATCCAAAAAGCATAAATCATTAAGTATACACAACAACCAGTTATATTAAGATCAGTAAAATTCGTACATTTTTCTTGATCTAAGCTGAACAAAAATGAATTTAAACTATTGCAATGTGTGTTCATCTTTTAACATTTTATATTATTTAATTTATAAACATACAATATAAAAAAGCAGTGGTCTGAATTAACTTGCTACATGTAATGAAATTACTGTAGTCACTACTTCTTTCGTAATTTTCAGTGAAGTGCGCTACTAAAAAAACATAGTGTAGCGAATAGTGCAGCACAAAGAAAAAAAAGTAGTTTATTGCGATTCCTAACAAATACTTTTAACATTAGTTTAGAAAAGAAACAAGGTTCAAACGCAAGTAATTATTTTTAAAATTTGACAGAAGCAAATCTTAAAGCCCCTCAGTGGCTCAATGTGAGTGAGTGTAATGTATGTTTATGAATAAGAAACAACAAATGATGCTTTGAAAATTTACAGCCACCATCTGTTTCTTACCTTTTATCTACGGCAAACCTGAAACAATTCTTTGGTGGAACTTCTAAAGTATAAAAAGCAAAGAGTTTTTTATGGAGCAACCCACTTAATATTCTTATTGTTGCTTAGCTTCTCTATGTAGTGTCCCTGATTTTATGGTAATTAGCTTTAACTACTTAAACAAAAACATTTGATTTTCGACAACATCAACTAAAATTCTTCCCATTTAATTTTTTCTCTGACGCTTTTTTTTAACTCTTTTATTCTTAGAAACATCTTTCAATAATGAAATATCTCTGATTTCAAAAACATCTCCTTGTTTTTACTTAAAATTGCAAAGTTGGATTAATACAACATTGTGTTCTGCTAAGGGAAATAAAAGATTAAGATCATATTTAAATCATTAGATTATTTGTCTTAATGAATGTTTTCCATTGTTAAATAGATACTTTGATACTTTATTGAGACTTTTAATTTTACATAGAATGATTACAGCCTTGTGGTACAGATTTTAATCATGCAGTGAAATTGTCTAAGCAAAACAGTGTTTAAAAAATAATTATCTTGGGGTTAAATTTTTAAAACATTTTCTGATTAAATTTGTCCAAAAAAAACTTATTAAACTTTTGATTTTTATTTGACTAAATGCATACATGCTAACAGATTTTTGCCAATTCGAAAAAAGCTCAAAGTTATGATGATTCCCTCCAACATCTACCAGTTTTCAATAGTCACAGCTATACTCAAAATTTTTATAAAACTCAGTTTTATTGTCTGGAATGCTTGAACAGAATTTTTTTCCCCCCACTATCAACTTTTTATATTTTAATTTTTTTTCCGAGTGAGCAAACATAAGCTGTCTCATCTGGAAAGGTCAATTTAATCATTTGAAAATTATTTCCATAAAAATAAATGATTTAAAAATTTTCATGTTTAAATAAGCCAATTTATTATTCTAATCCATTTTTTATAATTAACATAACTCGAACCATTTTTTAACAAGAAATTGAAGTAGTCAAGCAGGACTACATTTCGAAAGTAGTATGAAGTCACTACATTAAAAACAATGTAGTTGTAATTAGCAACAAAAAAATTTAGTTAGCAATAAAAATTTCCTATCACTGACAGTTATATTTTAACTACGGAAGCATTAATTCCAACTTAATCAATGCTTTAATCTGGTTCCTCTCTAAAATGTCAAATTAAATTATTAAAAAAATTATTAAATGGTTTAGATGTACCAGAAGAAGGAAATTTTATAAAAACTCTGGAAGGATTAAATAAAATCCTAAAACAAAGAGAAATTTCTTTTTAATTGACTATCTCTAAAAACTGCTCTTTGATGAAAAAGAAACATTTCATAATAGATTAATCTAGAAATATTTTAAAGATAAGTAATAAAAAGATATCAGTACATCTTATTCCTAATTTAAAAAAGAGCCTATTAATAAAGTGCTTTATTTTTCTTAAGAAAAAAATAGTTGCTATAATTGTTAATAGTATTTAATGTGCTTAATGTTTTACCACAATAATTGGCCTATTATACAATTCTTTTCCAAAGAGAAAAATCAATCAGCAATTTTTTAAATGAACTAAAATAAAATGCAACTAATATCCATTTTACCAAATCATTATCCTACACATAGACCATGCATGCATTAAAAGATGATTTTATTTTGTCAGATAAACAGCAAACTACAAAAAAACATGCCAACTCCTACCTGCCAAGTTCCTATATTCTCTGCTCGCTGACCAAAAGGCCTTTGAAATATCATGCACAATTTAAATGCATCACTCCTGATCTCAATAACATTGTTCAAGAGAGCACACATAGCAGCCATTGGGAAGGCAGATGAAAAAAGAATAACATAACCAAACTGAATAAACATTTCTAAGTAATCTTCAAAAGTTCCCTCATACTGAAACAAAATGCAATCAGTCAAAAAAAGTACAGGACTGAAATAGCTAAGCTATATCATAAAATGCATTAAAATCATCCTATTAATCTCTTCAGGGGTGGCAGAATAAAAATTGTCCCACTTATTTTTTAAAATCAATATATACCGATAATATTGTAATTATTTCTTAAAGAATGCAGTTTTTCATCTACCAATCAACCACTTTTAATTTTGAAAATGTAAAGATAAAGCAAATAGCTACATTGAGCATTGATATGCAATTGCAACCAATGACCACAATTTTCTTGACTATATTTTTTTATTGAAATTATCAGCATGACAAAGGGTTATAAAACAACATTATATTGATTAAACAAAACAAGTAGCACTGGCAGAAATGCATCTATGTATTTCTGCCAGTACAGTAGGATACAGTAATCTGTTTAACCAGGATGGTAAGGAAATGACATGTCCAAGATAAGTAAATATCCCAAATTATTAAATTATACGAAATTTTTTAAAAAAATGTAAAATTATACAATTATGACATTAATAATTTATTTTCTAACTCAAAAGAAATAGAATGAACGTAAATTTTAATGTTATATTACAACTACTCATAACGATACAGTTGAATGAATTTTAAGTAGGAAATTTTGAGAAGAAATTGAAACTTCCAATATATTTCTCCCTATTCTGTATTTGTCCTTTTCCAGGTCAACCCAGATAATTCAATTTCGGTTAATAGAGTGTTTACTGTATTAATAAACTACTGATACAGAATTAAGTGGCAAGATAACCACAGATGAGGGAGTTCTCCGAAATGGCCAAAAAATATCATTCAGTTATTCATTCATGCAATGGGAATTTTTATTAATATTTTGCCATTCCAACAAAGATAAGTATCACTGATGAAAATTTAAAAGAAAAATTAAGATGAAACCTCGGTCACCTGGTCTAAGTATTGCAAAATTGTATTGTTTTAAGTATTGCAGTAACAAAATATTTTGGACTAAATATTAATAAGAAAAAAAGTCTGAATTTCTTGTTAAAAGTAATAACATCATTTATTTACTTTTTTTTTTTTAAAGTTTATCTTAATAGCAGAAACACTAGGATCCAAATTTTGCATTATAAGCCTCTTGTTCAATATTTAACTGTAATTTTATGAAAATTATGAATTATAAAATATCTACTAAATAAATGAAGAAGAAAAACCCAATTATAATTATTTTAAACAATTGTAAATATTTCATATAATAAATGTATATTTTCTGGGAAAGGGCACTAGGACATAGGCACAATTGAAACATAACCAGGTCATAAGACTACTTGTCCCCATTTTTTTTTTAAATACTAGATTTTAAATTACTAGTTAGTGAATACAACATTTTGTACTTAATTTGTATTTAACAGATTTTTCTAACAATGTAAGTATAGGCAATTAACTTTTTCCCTCCTCTGAAATCCTAACATTAAGTGTAATAAGGATATTTGATTTAACTACATTTAATGCAAATCTGTTGTATTGAAATATCTTATGAAAAGTTAATCTTAATTCATATACATACTCGAATATAAAATACATAGTAAGATAGTTAGTTTTCATGGAGATTTTATATATTTTATAAAAGCATGTAACAAATACAAAAATAATGTATTTTTTATTGAATTCAAACACAATCTTCCCTTCAGTCATACAATCTGACCATATTCACTCGTACTCATGATCAAATTTTTGAAAATTTTGATAGGAAAATATTAAAATAATAGAATTATTTTATTTTCATTTTATTTTATAACCGTCATTGAACTGCCGACTTAATATTGGGTTTACAACTACTAATGTTCAACTACTTAGCCTTGTAATTTTGAGCCCAATCCAAAAGACAAGGGAACTCCTGGATCAAGTATTGGGAGAAATTTGCCTTCGTGGAGGACTTTTTGATGGAACCAATCAACATTTAATTTACAAGGAGAGAAAGACCACGAGAATCTCGAACAGTTAACCTGACGGCAAGGGGACTCTAACTCATGATCTGTCAACCACTGAGGATAGTTTTACGTCAGCATTGTGGTCAATGCAAGGCGGATGCGGAATTCGTATCGACCAACCATTGCTGGGATTCGAACCCGGTTCACCTCATTGGAAGGCGAAACCTAAATCCACTGAGCCATCACGGCTCGAATTATTTCATTTTTTATTTTATATTATAACCGTCATTAAACAGATGAGCCAATTTTAGGTTCACGACTACTAATGTTCAACTCTATAGCCTTGTAATTTTGAACCAATCCAGGAGACAACAGAACTCCTGAATCAGTACCCCCAGAGGCATGATTTGTTATGGGAACATGGAGGCCTTTGTGACTCAACAGATTTAACGTGCATCAGTCACCATTTACTACACGAGAAGTCTTCAGCCTGCAGGGATCGAATCCACGACCTCTTGGACATGGGCCTAGAGACCTACCACCCAGGCTAACCCAGCCCCGAATTATTCCACTTGGAAAGTTCAGAAAGATCCAATATTCTACAACTATAAGTTAAACATATAAATATATTTTAAAACTTCAGCTTACTTTATACATGGCACTTTCTACTTCAGCCTGAGTGAGGCTGTTGTAGTTTTTCCTTTTTTTCTGATGATCATGAACAGGAGTTGAGGATGTTGAAGACAAATAGTCACTTTCCTGATCAGAACTAACATCTTTCTGTTCCTGATCAGATCCAGCAGGGGAGTGAAGAGCCTGATTTGAATTCAAATGAGCCAATTTAAATGTTTCAGTAATAAAAGGTATGAAGGATTCCTTGATATTGCCAACCACTTGCCGTGTTATCAAGAGAGCAGCTAATTGCTAATGAATGTAAAAATGGTTTAGAATTAGTAAAAACTAAATTGAGAAAAACTTTAAAATGATCAAAGAGATTCGTTACCAGTAATTTTTTGAAACTTAAAAAAATTTAATAAAATGCTTTAAGTAAGTTTAAAGAAATAATTTTAATTTAACTGAAGTTTGTACAGTTTTCTATAAAATTTTTAACTTTATGTTTTAAAAGTATAATTGTTTCTTAATGATTAAAAATTTTAAAACAAACACCAGAAATATTTACCTCTTTTAACTTTTCCATGTCTTGCAGATAGAAGGCAATGTAGAAAAGAGATAGAAAGGAGTTCACAAACTGAAACTAGATAGAAAAATTAGAAACCCTATATTAATTAAAATAAAAAACTATTTTACAAATTCAAAACAAGAAATATAAAGATTATGTTATTAAGGTATATAAAAAAGCTATTATTCACATACAATATAAATAAACAATATAAATAAACAATTTATTTAAATTTCATGCATTATGCTGTTATTTCTGTTTCTTTGACATTATTTAAACACTTTTAAATGAGATTTCTTTTCTCCAACTGATTTTCAAGAACCAACACATAGTAGTAGTTGTTTTATTTTTTTACCTGCTAAACCTTTAGAAAAAATCAAACATATGGAAACATATATCTAAAAGTATCGTACTATTTAAACACATTAAAAAAAATTTATTCCATAAAGGTAAGTATCATTTAATTTTAAAAAAATAACTTGCTCTCAGTGACTATCCTTTTGGAGTGAAGTAAAACCTTTTTTCTCTTTGATGAGATTTGTCTACATGTTTTCATAAACACCTAAAGTTAGAAGGCAGTACATAAAATAATAAGCTTATTATTTACAGTTTTGAAAAGAAAATTTTTTTAAAAATTTAAACGTTAATTTAGACAAAATAACATTCATATTAGCACACTTCTTATCATTTTATAGGCAAATCTTACAGTTAAATTTTAATTTAACAAATAGTTGATAAAATACTCATAGTTACATCTCCAGCATATTGTAGCTATGATTTGAACATTTGTAGTCAAAAGTTTGCCAGAGATTTTTAAACTTTTTTACAAGTTTACAAGAAAACATGTATGAGCTAGAAATAATAAAATTTTTTTCATGTAACCAATGGCAAAAGAAACATTATAAAAAATTATTAAAAACTAAAAAATATTTTTGAAACAAACTAGTAAAACATATATATATATTAAAAAAACATATATAAACAAAAATCCATTCATTCATAATTAAAAAAAAGTGTAACAATACAGAATAGTAATAAAAACGTATAAAAATATCATTGTCTTTACAAATGATTTAGAGAACACACTATTCTTAATTAAGTGCAGGAAAAAGTAGCTTCTTGGACACAATAAGCCTAGCAATACAATAAGTAAAAATTCTTGGCAGGCATAAAAAAAAAATTTATAAAAATTTTTACAATTCTTTTCAGGCAAAAAAATAACCAAATCAGTAGCATAAAAGAAACATTAATTTACATTCAAATATTAAGCTGCAAATATTCATGCAGGAAAAGGAACGACAATATGGGAGGAAATTTCAAGCATAACAATACTGATATACCATACTAACCAATAACTCTTTGGCTACAAGATGATTTTCATATTCCTCTTCTCCCCTATAGTTCTCTGGGAAAGCATAAAAAAAAGGGAAAATAAACGTATAGAACTATTTGGATTTTGGAATCTAAATTGATCATTGCAGGGGATAGAAGAGTATATTTTCCCAATTCCACAGGAAACAGAGAGTACATTTCCCCAGTTTCGCCTTCTACATGAATGTTAAGCTAAAATGTTAAGTTTTCTAAAAGAGCATTAGTAGGATAGAACTTGAGTGCATCGGAGAACTTTCGAATGAATGATGCGAGGCAAGCGTTATAGCAATCTGTTATGAAGAATATGTTAGGCCCATCTATTGCTAAAGTTAATACTATATTTAATATTACCAATAGAAGATAAATATGTAATGCTTATGTTAAGTCTATGCTAAGGTATTGTATCTCTACTGATGGCAAAAAAAAAACAACAAAAAAAAAAAGCTGAAATATATTTGCAATTTTTTTATAATAATAATAAATGATTACTTTATAAATTTAGATGAATGAATAGTTTTAGAACAATTGACAGCATTGCTTGAGAACTGATTTAAATAAGGAAATAAATATTCAATCATATGTAAATTTAAAAAAAATTTCAATAGCACTAAAAGTAGTGAAAATAAGTAATACAAACATATGAAAAATAAAGCATTTTTAAAGCTGCGGAAAAAAATAGATCTTAGGAAAAAATATATTTAGTTTTTTAAAAAATTTCTATAAAATATATGTAAGAAAAGTGGAATAACAGAAATAAATTTTCTTTTTTATATTTTACATTTAAAAAAATGCAATAAAAAAGTAAATAAATAAATTATTTATAGTCTACAAATTATTAATGCAAAAAGCCTCTAATCTCAAGCAACTAGAGTTTATACTAGATAAGATTGAGAAATCAAGATATCAAAATTGGCATTCAAATATTTTTCAAAAGAAAAACTACATGAATAACTAATATTATAAAAAACAATAAAAACTAAAAATTATTTTATAAAGTTCGGATAGAGCTAACTGAAAAACTACTTTAACAGAACAGCACACATAACTCATAGCCTGCTTCCGTGGATGAAGACCAGAGTTTTAAGAGAAAATAAATAAGATAGCTGAACTAAATGATTAAAAGTTAAAAAAAAAAATTGTAAGAGCATACTTTACCTAAAAAAAATGTTTATAAAAAATTCTTAAAAATAATTATGAAGCTTAATAAAGGGGTATTTAATTAAATGTTAGAGTTTTCAGTTCTTTTTCTATAAGGTTAATAACAGGCAAGAGATTGCAAAAAAAAGAGGAAATGCACATGAATTTAAATTACTTTAATTAATTACATTTCCCAGCATCTGATACTAATCTATCAATAAATAGATTTGAAAATTACTTTTATTTTTGCTTATACATTTTGAAAAGTATATGATAGAAAATTATCAGCAGAGTGATTATTTTGCAATCAAAAATAATTTTTCTTATGATGTAATGCTCTTAATGTAATGCACTTAATTAAGGAAATTATAGTAACTGACTGCTCTAAATGTTAATATAAAACATTTATTTTTTTAAGGCAACTGAGTATAACTTAACAAAAAATAAATTAGTGATTTATTTCCTAAAATCTTAACTGCTTAAAGCCATCAAAAAAATCTAAATTTCAAGCAACTGATCACAATCTCTATCCACAGATGGACTTAAGGTTCAGTTGATTAGAATTCATACATTTTGAAAAGTGTATGAAAGAAAAAGTATGGCAATATGGTCTCAGAAAAATTGAAAAATAGTAGATCCAAGAAAAAATTTCATGCCTGTAATAATTACTTTATAATATAATATGTACATTTGAATTTGCTAATATATAATATCAAAGAATGAATTGTAAAATGATCCTGATGTTGAATTCCAATACAAATAAGTATTATATCATTAAACATCAAATTATCATAGCGTGAAATATCCAATGAATCAGGAATCTTAAATTTTAACTTGCTACTTATTGGAGAAGAATTTGCGCAGCAAACTAAAGATACAAAATATCATGTTAAGCTTAATTTTAAAAACTTTGAATTTTTAAAATATAAGTAATTTGCTTAAGAAAGCCATATATCATGCAAATAAAGTAAAGTAGCCAAATATCATCTATAAGCTGCATAGCTCAATTATTGTGCTAAGCTTCTGAAGTCAAAATGATATGGTACAGTAGACCTTCAACAATCTGGATAACTTTAGAGGGGGATAAAAGCAGGTAATGGATGCTATCCAAATGGTTTTTCCACCCAAAAAGGAAAAACACTTAAACAAATTTCAATTGTTGTTATTATTTTTTTTAAATTTGAAATCTGAAATAGTATTGAAATGCAACTAATCCCAACACAAATGTTTAAATAAAACATCTAATGATTTCAGCAAATGAAAATACATCTTTTCAGCAATGCTCTTTTGCATCAGTGTCATAACCGTTTGCTAATTATCTATACTTCTTAAAATAGTATTTTTGAAAAATATAATAAAATAGTTATTGAAATAATAATTAAGATTATTGTGAGAAAAATGTTATTAATATGCAATTATTGGCATAAAGAATTGTAACAATTGTAGCTAATTAGTTACATTTCAGACAATTAGAAATACCGCTAAATAATAAATAAATAAATTTTGCTAATGTTTATCTGAGAAAAATGTTATTAATATGCAATTATTGGCATAGAGAATTGTAACAATTGTAGCTAATTAGTTACATTTCAGACAATTAGAAATACTGCTAAATAATAAATAAATAAATTTTGCTAATGTTTATCTGTGCTACTTCATAACAATAGTACCACACGTCATACCATAAATCTAGGTAGTGTTGTATATTGTTATTATCAGCACCTCATGACTGTCTCATCAGTCCTCATAAATTTTAAGTAATGCTTAAAATTTTAATTTTAAGTTAAGCCTTAAAAGGAAATTTTAAGTTAAGCCTTATGGATTTTCCTTTTATACTGGATTAATTAATTTATTAAGTATACTATTAATTTATAGCCTTTATTAAATTATTTTTTAGCTTTAATTTCAATTAACCAGTAAAATAAATATTTTTTAGTAAGTATAGATAGGGGCTCTGACCTATAAACATATACCCTAATAAATGTGTAAAATATGTGTAGACTTTATAATTATATAAAAATGGTTTTATTTATTATACTTCCTTACTTCAGGGCCTTAATTAAAAATTAATATTTTTGTTGAATTATTAAAATATAAATAAATCCTTTTGAATGATTTAAACAAATTTAAATGCTATACTTTTTTAATTTTTAGAAACTTCTTTTCATAAGTTCTGGTTTATGTTACCAAAGTTTTTTCCAATATTATTATTCTTAATGTGCTTTTTTCATAGATTTCAGCACTGAAATTTAAATAGCTAAATCTTACAAATTAGTTCATATAATTCCAGCTAAAAACCCATACCCTATTATTTTTCTTCTTACCAATTTTTGTTAATTATTAGTCAAACTATTTTTAACGTATTTTTTTTTATTATTTTGCTTTATAAGTTTGTTTTGTTTTTTTCTTCTTTCATTTGTACCTCATTTACAAGTACATTATTATTTCTTTTCTTTTTTTTGAGACATTGGTGTATTATATTGAGTAATTTTCATCTTAGGATAATTATTCTTTATTTTAAAATGTGTCTGTCACAACAGAATACATCTTGAAGAGAACCTTAACGCTCATTTTTCCTTCGTTCATTCAGTTCGTTTTTATTATATTTCTAATATTATATATATATATATATATATATNTATATATATAGTAATAATTTATGAATTTTATTAATTAATAATATAAATTATTAGAAGACAAAACAATAACAAATAATGTAAATAAATTTCTTGTTTGGTCTTTTTTGCAAATTTTCTTTAATTCCATATTAGACAATAGTAATAAATTCAGTAAATTATTCAAATAGTTGATTATTCAGTCTGGGTTTGGTTATTCCAGACAATTGAAACTCTACTGTACATAATAAATAAATGAATGATGTATTTAAGAACTTAATATAAAGTTTCTAAAGATGAAAAATTGATTGGAAAAATATTATAGCGAAAAATTTAAGTAAAATTTTTTCGTATTCAGTACCAACCAGAACTAATTTGATAATCAGATGGTTTTGAAAACTTTCTTCCAGTCTATAGCTTTCTGTAAAATAAGACATTTGTTTAGTTTGCTTTTCTCATTTAGTTAAATTTAACCTTCATTTTTAATGCTTTTTACAATACCTGTTCATAATTGTGAGATTTTTTGTTATCTAATATTTAGTGGAAAAAAGCAAATATTAACCTAAACCAAAGTTTAAAATGTTTGTTTTTAACAAAAAATAAAAAAGAACACTTAATACCTTTCAACAATATCTTTTTTGAGTCATTAATAAATAATTTAAAATATTTAATAAGAACATCTGAATATAATAAAGGACATGCAGATTAGAAGAATAAAAAAAACTCATTCTTATTTTCATTATCACTTATTAAATAAATGGCAACTAGGAACTTTAGATAAATATTACACAGAAATTAATAAACAATTGAAAAGCATTGAATTTATTGAAGAGCATGGAAACATTTTCAATTATAAAAATTATTAATTATTTCAATTGAAAATGTACCGTTAAAGCTACGAATTTAATTTCAGAGCATACCCTCTAACAACTACAGAATTTTGTAATTGTTTGAAAATATTTTTCTCAACAGTTAATGTTTCAATATAATATAGTAATAAATCAGAATGACAATTTTGTGATATCAACTTTACTTCACTACTAAGGGAAAAAATATTTTGCAAAAACTTCAAACGTTTAAGTGCATGTAAAGTTCTATTTTAGTTATAGCATAAGATATAATAAAGTACTAAAAATTAGCATGTAAACTTCATATTCTAAAAAGTATTATTTTCCATAAAAGTAGCAGAATACAGCAAAGTATTATTTTTTAAATTTATTTTTAGAAAAAACTTACGTTTCTTATTTAATGAAAACTTAATGAATAAAAACTTTCCAGATAATGAAAAAAAATAATGCAAGCTTTATTACAAAAGGTTTAATAAAATATTCAACTCACCTTTATCATTTAACCATACAGCTATTTTGTGATAAACACCATCCAAAACATTTATAACTAATGCCAAAAGGACTTTCGGAAAAAGAGTCATCCAAAATGGGAAGCCACGAGCATCAATCATTCGATCCCACCAAGTCTGTGAAGAAGAAAATTCGGCGAATTACTAACCATTAGACTTTTTTTTAATAATTAAAAAAAATATGAAAAGGACATAAGTGTCCATTTTATGTCAAAGTTTTAAAGCTTCACAATTCAAAAACCATTACATATATAATAAAATGATATATATTTTCATAATTTAAATCCAGTCAGGAAGTAACAAGGACAAAAGATATAAATTTGAAGAAAAAATATTTTGTGAGGTATTGCTGAATATTAAAGATAGCTTTTTTGTGATATAATGAATTAGGAATCTGAAATAAATAAAAATTGCTTTTGCTATCCAAAACTTTGGAGACAATTGGGGGGGGGGATTTGATTAAAATAATAATTGAAAAATGCATTACTGATAAAGACATGTTATATATTTTTTCTGAATAAATAATCACTATTTAAATGTTCTGAGTTCTGAAACCAGAATTTCAAAAAATAAATCTTGGCGGTTACTCTGGAGTTGGTGGTATCTAAAGCCATATAGGTCAGTGATCTATTGGGAGTCCATATAAATCCAAAATTAAAATAAATTTTTTCAGAAAATTTTAGCAAGTTTTTCAATTTTTCTTCCATTTAATAAAATAAAAAAGAATAAATTAAGACTTACCTTAACACTTGTTACAAGGTTAAAATTAAAAATCTTATCAGCAAGGTTAAAATTATAAAACATAAATTTTTTGTATAAGTATTTGAAAAAAAATTTAAAAAAAGGCAGGTAAAAAATATGTTTATTTTTTTAAAAAACTAATGTAAAGAATGATTAGAAAAGATAAGAAATATTAACGAAATTCAAGAAGAACATATAAACCAACAAAGGATTTAAAAAATAATTAACATTTAAAACAACATATTCATTTTTTGAAACGAAGCACTTTCACTTTACAACACATACAAAGAATGCAATAAATTGCAAGCTAATAACAAGCACATTATTTAACAATAAATTTATTATTTTAAACACTTAAATTTATTATATTTAAATTATTCTTTAACTTCATGAAAATCTTCTTTGTAAAGGAAATAACACTAAATTTTTTTAAAAAAGTGTGTAAAAGGTAAAAGCTTTGAAAAATTAGACATTCTGCCTTAGATTTTAGCCTCATCTAACTACAGCTATTGCCACTTATTCCAAGGAATATTTTTAAGAGAGGTGTTATTTTTTAAGCCACACACGTATGGTTGTTTTAAGATGAGAACAGAGTTAATATAGAAAAAGAAGTATAACATCAAAAGAGGAAGATTGAATTTTACCTGAAGCTCAAATATAAGAAACATGACAAGAAACACAGAAAGAAGACAAAAAGCTATGATAGGTAAGCTAACACAGTAGCGAAACAGATTACGTTTCCATGCAGGATAAGTAGGCTCCATTCTTCCAGTAATGGGACTGACTGCTAAAGGACCCTAAAATAGTTTAGAAAAAATCACAACCAATTGATATATTTTACTAAAAGATTCACGCAAAGAAATTTAAATTAAATAGAAAATTATAAATCTGTAAAAGATAGGAATAAAGCTACTTAAAATTTTCAAGACTTAGTTGCAATTAATTTAAAATAAGCAAACAATTAAAGATTATAAATTTTTTCTCATGACATGACATATGACTTACAGTTTAAAGAAGGTAAAAGAGGCAAAAAAATCAAGCGAAAGTGGAAAAGTGATCAGCTTGAACGAAACATAGCTTTTGGCTTTCAAGACATATCTATAATCTAGGTGTAGATTTACAGCACTGAGTAACTTTAATTCTGAGTAAGAATAAAAATTATTATTTTTTAGTAGGAAGTCAAAAGATTGTTTAACACTGCTGTTCACCATAATATAAATTATTAAACATTAAATGAAATTATTATTCAGTGGAAATTAAAATTCTAGAAGTTTTGAAACATATAAACCATAAAAATTCACAGGTTAAGAGTTACGATGATTCAAAGAATGCATGAATGACAAAAGTCATATTTAAAAGATTGTTTCTTCAAGCTATTCACTCAGTATGATTGCTATTAAAAACATTATATAAAAAAATAAAAAACTTTCTGACAAAAAATTCTTTTATGTTATTTTTTTTTATTGATAACATAGAACTAAGCATTAAATAACGGAGGTTATGTATTACATTAAATATTTTCACAAATTTACTCACAGTAAAAAGGGGTCTTGGTTCAGCTAAAAGTTCATTATGAATATCCAATGTACCCCAACGATAAGCCAACTCTGCACAGTTCCTTTTCCATGATTCCAGGTACAGAGTAGCCCATAAAACATTAAAAAGTGCAAACACAACAAAACAAATATCTTCTGTTGCCTAAAAAATAATGCATATAAATAAGAACAAAAAAGATGACTTCTCAGTTTAATTTCTTATTTTTTTCCAATTCAAAACATTTAATTTGTTATGCATTTTAAAACTAGCAAGAAAGTAAAATTAATAAAATCATATAAATATAGATAGAAAAAGTTTAGCAACAGAGAAATAGATATAGCCTATGCTTTTTAAAACTACACTCTATTACAATGACAAATACACACACAGTGCCATTTCCAATGAAAAACAAAAAAGAAAACTTTACGACATAAAAATAACATTAAAAATTATAGTACTGCACCTCATTTTATTGGACATAAATTATTATTCATTTTATAAAAATAAATTATAAATATTATAAAAGAAATCAAAATGTTATGCCGCATTAACAATGCCAAAATGCTTAAAAATTCAATAAAGCTTCGTTTATATATTTCACATTCATACATCTTTCTAATTTATACGAGGTTTCATGGCAGTCTCAGTTCATTCTTAATTTATGCAATGTTAAAATTCTTTGTTTATATAATGGGAAAAAAACAATTCCCAGGTTTATGTTGCTTTTTTCAATCTTTTTTCTTTCATTTGTCAAAAACATAAATATTTGGCCTGGATTTGAGAAAATATAAATAAGGTTCACAAAAGGAATTTTTCGTCTCAAATCTATAGTCATCCTGTATGAAAAGCTTGGACAAATTGTGTACTCAAGAAGTGAATTTGATGTATGCTTTCTTCTTCATTTTTGTAATAAATGCTCTTTTTTTAATTTTTATTACTACTATCTCTATATTTTCTATATGAATAACATTTACTTTATAAGAACAATTATTTTTATTATGAACCTTTATTAATTTGTTGAATTTTTATTTTTATGTCTTTTGCATTTATACGTCTTTTCATTTAAACCTCTTTTTATTTAGATGTCTTTTCATTTATACTTCTTTACATTTAAACCTCTTTTTATATTGGTCCCTAGAAAGGTGTATAAATGGAGATCCACTTTTCATGAAAAGTAAAGATTTTAAATTGAATTCTTTATATTAACAAAAGCTTTAATTATGAAATAATTTAATCGAAAAATATAAGCAAAACAAACTATAAGGATAATAGGAAAACAAAATGAAAAATCTAGGAAATATTGAATGGATTTATCACTTAAGATTTATTTGCACCCAAACACTGTCATTGAGAAATCAAACATTTACTACAGTAAAAGATCTACATATTGCAATTCTATAAATTGCAATTTTCCACAAACCACATTAACTTTTATGTTCACGCATAAAAGTTAATGTGGTTTGTGGAAAATTGCAATTTATAGATCTTTGAAAATTCCAGCTAAGAAATTTCCATAGCTAAGTAAGAACACTTAACATTTTAAATTAATTGTTTAAATATTTCTGAAAAGGTTACAATTTCAAAAGATAGGCAAACTAAAATGGATACATTTGTTTGCTACTAATTCTAAAAAATTTAATTTTTTCCTGTAACTAATAAATACTTAGTTTATATATCTGTACTTTTAAATATTTGTCTCTAAAGATTATTTTAAAGAATTTTTTAATTGATCTGTACCGGATCAATATTGTTGGCATATATTTGTGGAGTAATTTTAAATATGTATAAAATGAGCAATTCAATATACAACACAAATTTCTATAAAAACCTAAAACCTAGCTTTTCAAAATTAGCATTATAAAAATCTCCTACAGTAGAAGTATTAATCTTAACCCTTTCATCATTGAGCCTTAAATTGAACCAAAATTTCTTATTTGGGCATGACTTCGCCATCAAACAACATGAGACATACCAACTAAAAAATAAATAAAACGGAGGAGTAATCCTCAGAGAATTAAGTATAACTTAAAGAAATATCCTTTACAGAAAATGTGTCATAAAATATAGTCTAATGAATAAAAAAAACTGTTCAACTTCAATTGAAAATTTAAACTACGAATAAAAATGAGTAAAATATGAATACCAATACCTGATCCTTTCCATAATAACGTAGCCATAGAAAAAGACCAAAAAAAGCAGGTAAAGTAAGAGCTTTAGTATAATGTCCTAGCCATGCAAAATACATTGCAATTTTCACACCAAAATAGTCACAAATATCATCTGCAAAACAATAAAAACTGTTTAAGAGAATTACTAAGTAGATGATACATGTACATATTAAACATTTCAATCATATCAAGTTTTTTTTTTAGAGTTATTAGTAAAACTTTCAATAAAACTAGTCTTTTTTAAAAAAAATTGTATGCATAAAAACTTTCAAACATTTTAATAAATAATTTTTCTTAATCGAATACAATAAAACACATAAAAAATCAGAGACAAATACATAATGAAAAAACATTAAAAAATCAAAATATTAATTATAAAATAAAATTACACGTTTAATCAATTTTAATACAAAATTCTGTGAAGAAAAATTAGAAATTTTCAAATAAATGAGGTTTGGTGGAGATGAGGTCATTTCTAAAAAATTAAAGGGAAATGAAATTTAATTAGATTTTAATTAAATTCAATAAAATCTGCAATATCTGATTTAAAAATTCTTTACAGTTATTATAGATTACATTTTTTATTATTGTTTTGAATGGAGATTTATTATTTCAGAAATTTTGTAATTATCCTGCATATACAATTTTAAATGAAACAAAGAAAAAAACTTACTTAATGGTTGATAATTTAAAAATGCTTGCATCCAAGTTCTTTTCAGCTTATTAAGATCTTCTGAGTTGTGTAATGGCAAAACTTGAGAAATTACACCATCAGCCAAGCATTTTGGAACTAAAAAATTTATAATTATCAAATTTTTTTTAAAAAAAAGACCTCAAATTTTACTAGATGTTAAGAACATAAAAGCACAAATTGCATATTTTCCTTTAAATTTATAATTTTGAAGCGAACTTGCATAGTTAGTACAGTATGCAGTTTACTTTCCTACAATTTCTTTACCTCTTATAAGTTCTTACGGAAAGAATGTGCTCTGTTAGTTTCTAAATATATATAACAATATAATTTATTCTGTAACAAAATTTATGGGTGGTAATAAACCCAGTAGCAGAATTTACGGAGAATTAAGCAACACTATCCTCCTAAATCTAAATTTGCCTATGACCTTAACAGAGTAAGATAAAGAATATTATTAAAATTCAGCTTATCATTATATACAAGTAGCAAAATTTGCAAATATCAGGTCCTTAAAAATTATACATGAACATTTTTGAATTGTAGTGGAATTTTATACAATGATACTAAAAAAATGGAATAAATTCCCATACAGTTAATCCTGAAGGAAAAAAATTCTTCACTCTTAGTTTTTTTACAGTGTTATTTCAATTCAGCTTTTTAATTTTCAGCAGAAAATTTTTTAGAGATGCTTTAATAAGCAGTCTTAGCATTTATTTGTCAGCTTTTTAAAAAGAAAACTTTGATGAAAAATAATATGCAGATACTGTAATAATATACAACACACACTGTGCTATAGGGTTTCTGTTACTGAGGCTAGATTCAGTTAATAAAAAGAATGTCCGATAAGTCATAAGTTTGGGAACATCAGGACTATAGACTTTGAAGTGACAAGAATATATTTGAAAAAGCAGATAATTAAGAGATAATGAAAAGTTACTGACTAATAGGTTGTCCTTCAATGAATTTAATGTGTACAAGTTCATCCTTGTCTGATGCTCTCAGCCCATGTAGAAGATTCAAAATGATACTTTGCCTCTCTTGGCTACTTAAGAAGACATCCCTGTTCTCAGATTGGTTGAAGCATTCTCTCTCTTCGTAAACAAATTCTTTCATGCCACCACCAAACTGCGGTTTTAGCGGTTTGCGAAGTCGTTCCTCTTCAGCTCCTTTCAGCAAGCTATAAACACAAGTAAAAAATAATAAAATATTTTCACACCAGTTCAGTTTAAATAGTGTTTTTCAACAAATATGCAATAAATCACTAGGACACATAACAGTTTATCTGATGCTTTATAAAATGCAAAGAACATTTTTGTTAAAATGTTTTGTGCTTAATAATGATGAAACTTGAAGATTTCTTAACATGACAGAAAAAGCTTCAATTCCAAATTCTAAAGTTTATTGCAACATGCACTTCTGTATGAATGCACAACTACTACTATTCCACAACTCTACAGTCCATGAAGGACCTTGGCCTCCTTTACCTCGCAGCTTCACTTTTTCCGGTTCTTGGCCTTTATACAGTGGTACAAAATAAGAAGATTTTGTTGCTGGTTCACAGACAGTGACTAAAAGATATAACTAAGTTCATAAACATTGTCACTGGTTTGCTTACGTGTCTCCATTAAATATTTTGTTAAAAAAAAACTTAATTTGAATAAAAAAAGTTAATTCGAATGAAAAATTGCTTTACAAAGAATGCATTATTTTCACAGTTATGACAAATTATGCTTTCACATGACAACAATTCAAACCAAAACATGAAACTGAAATCAAAACAGAAACAGCATTCCGTCCCTTTACATCAATTGTTGGTTGAAGGAAACAATTTATGTAAAGGGTGATTATTATTTTAAAATGGTCTGAAGTAAGTTTTAGTGGTCGATGTAAGTATAGCTCTGGAGCTCTGATATATGTATATTACGAAATATTTGAAATAATAAAAAGGCAGAAATCTTAAGAAGGAAAAAGAAAATGATCAAACAGAGCTAGATGAGTGAGCTGGTCAGAAGTAAGATCTGCTGTCATTGATTGACCGATGTTTAGTTTTTGTACTAACTTACAATGGCCGTCGTGGTTTTTATGTACTTTGTAATATGTATCATTAAAACTATGTTTGAATCATCTTAAGTGTCTGCAAACTTGATTTATATACAATTATGCCGTCCTCCACCATCAATTAATTATTTTCCTTGCAGTTAGTGCATTTCCCTTCCATTAGACTATAATTTTATGCTTTTGGCGAAAGCATGTGGTGAACTAGAAACCTATTTTGAAGTATGTGCATTCTAGATCATCAAACAATAACAAATTATATTATTAAATACAACTTGAGATATTTTATAAAACTGAATCAAAATAATGACTATACATTCACACTAAGTACAGATATATTTATAGCTTTTAACACACTTATTAGAGTCACATCTTTATAGTTTTATTTTTTAAAACATTATAATTTTATTTTTATGACGCAATAAATTTGCTGGTGGCAAACAAGAGCTTGCATAGCAAAAAGTTTTTTTGGGGTCCAACATCCTAAGAATGTAGGAAAAATTGTAATTTTAAAATACATTTTCAGCAAAACCATGAGGTAAAAAAATACCATTTTCTTTACCATTAAAGAATTGTAAAACTACAAATAATTGTTTAATTGTAAAACTACAAGTTTAATTAAAAAGGCCTATTTCACTTTTTCAAAAAAAAAAAAAAAAAAAAAAAAAAAAAAAAAAAAAAAAATCAGCTTTAATAGATTTTTGTTTAAAAAAATTTCTGAATAAAGATAAATACATGTTTTAAAAGTTTCAAATTATGAACAACAAACTCTCTTTTACTCGTTTTTAATAAAAAAAAATTGTCTATAAGAATGGCCAAATTAGATTTCAAAACAAAGTAAAATATTTTCTTTTCTTCATTTATTAAAAATGTAAGGTTCTTCCTTTATTTGCAATCTTATGCACAGATAAGGGTAGGGAGGAAACCTTTTACACAAATACATTTCGGCAGAATATATAAGAAAGTCATAAAATGTGAAATTCATTGGCTTTAAAAAAAAACCTAAGTTTTCTTTCCTTCTCTTTCTCATTATATTAGGCATCAGTTTTAAAATGAAAAAGTTGAATAATTTCACTTAATTTTTCTTTTTTTTACAATTCAAAATAACTTTAAAAGTAAGACAAGTGTTTCAAAATAATTGTTTTTTTTTACTTTATGATTTCTTAAATCAATGACACGGCAATCAAGATATTGCAATCCTGATTTAAATTACTGATTTTAATTCTCTTATATGAAATATTGAAACCCTAGTAAATATGAGGGTCGATTTACTTTTCAAAAGATGTCGTTAAGTAAAATCCATAGACATTAGTGTGCCGATGATGTCGAACTTCTACCATCAATTCCGGTACATTCGCCCTCAGTTGTGTTAACACCCATACAAGAGTCTCCTCATCTGCTGTAGGAGGAAAAGTTATCACAACATCACAGTCATGACTAGGGAGGCTATTTTTCCAAACTTGTCCAGCAGCTAACAACTGTCTTGATACCGATATTCGTTTTCGAAGTAGTCTTCCAGCTATTGATAAATAATATAGTAAATGTAAATAGTGAATTTTTTTTTTTGGAAAAAATAACATACATAGAAATCTAATTCAAACTAAATCAACACATATCGTCAAAAAATAATACTAATAATTCATTTTTATAAACTGTGTTAACTTTTAGATTTTCAGTTAACACACTCATGAGGCAATTTATTAGAAATAAGCTTTATTTTCCAAAAAATCTGCTAAGAATAAAATATTTAATTATAATTTGAATGTGACAAGTTATTAAAATCCCCCCTGTACAACTTTCTCAAATATTGATGAGCAGCAGATGACCAAGGCATGTGAAATATAATTGCTGGACCTGGTGCAAGAAGATAGTAAGTCCAGGTTCTCAAATTTTAGGTGACAATTTCATTAAATTTTAAAGCATGACAGGTTTATGTAGTTTTTGTCCAAGCTATTTACCATACAGGAAAGGACTGGCATTGCATTTGTACGCAATTCTTGCACTCAGGACCTGATATAGAAATGAAGGGTTTGGAGGCATAGAACTGGTGGAAATTAACCTGTTGTTTAATCTGAGTTCTCCCTAGGAATAAAATAGAGCAGAGTGCTTATTCACAGAAAAGGGCAATTTAAGTTTTGAAAGGGCACTCACTTACCACCATTAAAATTTAACAAAATAAGCCATTACCACCAGAAGCCATCATCTAAGCCACTACCACCATTAAAATTTATGTACTAATAATTGAATTTAATCCCAGATTATTAGATTACCATCTTATACTATTTTAGGTGTGTATTTCACTAAGAAATTCTCATTCATTATCAAAATGAAAAAAATATTTTAAGCTTCGGAAAAATAATTAAAGGCAAGCTAAAAGACAATCACTGAGTATAAATTTTCTTCAAAAAAAATAAGCTAAACAAATTATTTTAATTGATGAACAACTTTAAGACTTTTTCTATAATTTAAATTGAAAATTATGAGAAACAAACATTTAAAGGTTCATTTTTTAGTAAAAAATAATTATTCAAAAAAAAGAAAAAAAAATATGGAGAAATTTAAAACAACTAAAAAGTTCATTAATATTCCCCCTCACTAATAAAAATTTTGAATATCTCTGGAACTGGACAATATATAACTGGACAACTGAACTGAACTTCTTACTGAAATGAAGGAATCAAATTAAAAATTAAAGTTAAATATTTACCAGTCACTAAATAAATCAGAAGTGGACTTTTCATGAAAAGAAGCAAAAAAAAAAAAAAAAAACTTTTCCTGGAAAAATAAAATAAAAAGGCAGTGTTAAGATATGGCGGTTATTTTTACAATAGGGCAAGAAGGGGGCATTTATAGGGATCAAGGGCAAGTAGGGGGTGCTGCCCTTCAAAAATGATTAGGAATTTATTAAAGTGTTATTATTTATGATATATCAGTAAATTTGGGCTTATGTTGATTTCAATCTTTAACAATTCTTAAAAAGAAACATAAAAAGAAATTGATTGTAACATTTATGAGGCCTCTATAAATGAGGGGGCCTAAGCCTAGGCATCTCAGACTTTATTTAAAACAAGTATTGCTCACACTGATCAGAGCAACTATATTCTATGCATTCGAAATGGCATTAAATTTTTTTTAGAAAGTTTGGACTCACCAGCCACTCTGTCAGTACCTATACTAAAATAATCACAAAGTTTTGATAACATTTTAAAAACTAAAAATAAATATTACAAAATGGAACAAGCTCAAAAAGTAAAATTCACAACCACACCCACACAGAGGATATTTCCATATTGGTACTGATTAGCGTGAACTGATATCATTATTTCATCAAGTGAAACTTTCTGGTTTTTTAATTGGAATGAATTTTAATAAATATTCATAGTTACTAGTCTGGCATAGCAATGTGTTGTACCATTTCAGTTTACCTGATTCTGTGATACTTTTCTTAGTTTCTTACATGCCACTGTTAAGTTTACAACAAAATCAAGTGATTTTTTCTGAGCAGACGCAAGTACAAAAATCCTCCTCCCTCCTGAATTTTTTTAAAAATTTCTTACAAAGATAAAAACCAGGCAGATTAACTCCCTGATTTCAGTTGGTACAAACAGGTACCAATGTAGACACATCCCTTACCTAGTTTTTGCATTTATTCACTGATTTTAATTAAATAAAATGGTTAAAAAGATATTATTTAACTCATGAAAGATTTAATTAATAATAAAAAGTATCAATGTAAAGTTCGGCCAGAAATTAACTTAGAAATATTTTTGCATATGTACGATATCTGTTCGAGGCAATTTCAATTGCCAAGGCACAAAAATTTTAAATTTGGAAAAATAAAAAAAAATCTGAGGTTTGTCATATTGAATTGGTTCCCCCTAGGAGGTTTTTTATGTTTTTCAATGGCCACACTAACAGGAGGTTGCAAAAACTTGACGTCGATACTGATATGAAAATCTAACTTTGAACGAGAAAAAACAAAACAAAAATCTAATCTCATTAACTTTGAAAATATTATAAAATACTTTAATTAGCAAAAAATCTTAAATAATTATGTATTTGAAAGCTGTCACCACTCAAAAATTTACTACGTTTTTTAAAAAATTTTAAATAGATTAACTATTTTTATTTAAAATAGTTTTTTGTTAAGAATCTAAAAAAACATGCAATAGCCTAATCAAAAATGTCACTATTTAACATAAATCGGCACATACTTTTTTAAGAAATCATTACCCCAATTCACAACAGTTCTGAATAACATATGAAACACACATCAGGACAATCTTTCTGAACTACATATAAATAAACATTATTTACATCAACATAAGAAAAATAAAAAAAGATAATTTTACCTTCAGACAGTGTCATTCGAGACCCTTTTTTCCTGTTACGCATCTCGCTACTTGTATGTGATCTAGAACCTAGCATTTTGTTCGACTATTATAAATCGACAGTAAAATATAAACGTAAAATTCCTTTAGAAAAACAGAACTGCTTCAAAAATCTTTAAAAATGTTATATTTTAAGTACAATATAAATTCATCTTCCCACACATTTCAATGCGAAACTGTTTCTGCTCTGCAGATTAATTAGTGATGCCATTTTTATAGTAATAAATTAACAATAACAAAAAAATTTTGCACCGATATTTAAAACTAAATAACTTTTCATTGTAATAAAAATTTTATAAAAATAATAGATCAAACAACTTTGATGAGCTATTACTATCAAGAGAAAGTATTTTAATTACATTTGTCCGACAATAATGTAAGTGGCAACAAATCGACTATTAACAAAACGTAAACAAATATGTAGATATGTTCGGTTTATATGTTTAAAACTCTTTATACTGTTATCTAAATTCCTCTTAAAATGGGCGATGTAAAATGTTATTTGAGAAAAATGGATTTCCCCAGCGTAGTACCCGAAGCCCTGCGACATATTCAAAAACTATTTCTTCCCGACTGTACTTCGCAACAGCTCGGATTACTTAAAGAACTTTCTGAGGAGTTCGTATTTTTTGAGATTGATAAATGGGGTAATTCTCGAAATCAAAAACTTCCCCCGATTAAAGAATTGCAAATAGTTGATCGTATCGCCTGGTATTTCCGACAGCCAGAGAATGATCAAAAAATGGCGACTTTCCAGGTATTATTTCCTTTCGGTTCAAAATTACTAGATAATAGACTACCTGTATTAGGCAAGCTGTTGTCTCTTGCAATAGCCACTGAGAATGGTAACGTCTTGAGTTACATTGGTACATGGATGCAATTATGTACCTGCCATTCTGATTATTCCGCTTATATAGCAAAGGCTGTTATCAGAGAGCATATAAAACCTGCTTCTAAGAACGAACTCGTTCGTAATCTTCCTATGATCTCCCCCATTTTTTGCGCAAGTTTAATATCAGCCATCACTAACATGTATCTGACTTCCTGTCCCCCTGATCATATAATACAGACAATTTTAATTTGGATTAATATGTCCCCAACATTGTGTTTTTCACCTTTTAAACTGAGCGTACCAACATCTTTTAATTATCCTGGACCCCAGACTCCCATTCCAGGTTTGATGTTTTGGTGTATTTTGTCCCCGTTGTATAAAGAATGTGCTGAAAATGTGGAAGGTCAAGACATAAGCGCTGAAACATTTTCCTCCCTGCTTTTGGCTTTGCTGCAGTGCATGATAAAATCAACCGTATCCCGTGATCCATCATGGTGCGAAGCTGTATCAATAACAAGTGTTATTGTCATTGCAGAAACTCTAAAGAAAATGAGTCTATCGTTGCCTAAAGATAGGCTTGATACTTCGTTAGATAGATTTGCTATGTGTGTAGAAGTGGCGCTTTCAACAAATTGTTTACATGTTTATCCTGAAAGACTGGGAAAACTGTTTCATAATTGTCTGCAATTGCCTTACAATCGTCCAATGAAAATTGTTATTCAAAAATGGAGCAATGTGATTGGCGGTGTTAAGAAAACATGAAATTTGAAATATTCTTATTATATTGTGTTCTGTACTATTGATTTGGCAAGTTTTTGACTTATGTCAATTTTTGATGGTTTTAACTGAAGATGAGACCGATATGTCTATTGTATTTGTATACCTGTATAAATATTTTTTTCATACTTTAAAGAGTACATTACATCTGTTGTGTTTTAATGCAAACTTAATGCGTGATAGAAAAATAAACAAAAAGGTCTGCGGAAAGCTCTATAGCTTAAAAGAAAGTTGCTTTAAACAAATCATTCCAATAACAAAGAAATTGTTTTAAATGTTCGAATAATTATTGCTGCCATCATTCCTTTAGATTAGGGGTGCACAACTTTTGACCTGCCGACTGTTGAAGTGCAGCTCAAAAAAGCTTCTGGACACAATACAGTTTTTTTTTCTTGGAAAATAAGAAAAAGTCGAAAAATTTGAAGTGCGCATTTGAGTCATCACTTTTTCAAGTGCTCAATTGGCACAGTGTAAATCTAAGTTGTTTCTCTATTGCTTTTTCCATGTTAATTGCTTTGAAATTCCGCATGATTTTTAAAAAACACAATATTTTATTCATACATTACAATGCAGGAATTTATAATCTGAGTAAACACTTTTTTACTCACTTTATTTTTGCTGATTTCATCATAAATCCAATCATTTTCAATTTTTTTTAGCAGTTTTAACTATTAATTTCCTTGTGTATTTAAAATCCTGATGCATTTAATGCATCAGGATTTCAACTCGTGAATTACAAATTGTACATTCAATTGATAACATTTTGACTTGCTTTATATTTGGACCAATTTCATTGTCGATCTAAATGATTCAACTATTTTTTGTGTAGTTATTGCTCTACATTCCCAAATGGTTTTAAAAATTTTGATTTTTATTTCAATATGCTAATTTTAAAAAACCCATTTAGATAATTACTTATTGACGTACTTTATTCATGCTCATTTTATCATAAATTTAAATACACTTTTTTCGCAATTATTGCGGTGATTTTGAGGATGCCTTTTTTATAACTATGATGTTGTTATGACACTAGTTTCTAATTACACATTTAAATAATCATTTTTTTATTCAACTTTGTGCCTATTTCTTAGTAAATCCAAATTATTTTCCCACCCTTTTTTAGTCAGTTAGAGCCATGTGTTTCCACATAATTTTTAAAATCTCTATATTTTAATACACTGTTATTGCAACATGAGAAATTTGAAAAGTAGTAAAAAGAAGTAAATTTTTTGTAGCTGAGGTGATTCTTCTTAGAGAAAATGAAAAAGAAAATGTATCTTATTTAAAAGTCATAAAACTTCTAATAATTCAAGAAATAGAAATAATATCTGATGTATAATACCAAATAATCTTATTTTACACAACAATGGTTTTGTTTTAATTCTTGGTTTTTGTATAAACCTTATAAATTTTCTTTACTTTTTACAATATTTAATTTGAATTTATAATACTTATTAAAATTTGCTTTTTTATATACTTTCATTTCATGAACATAAATTTTTTTTTCTCATTTGTTATAATTTATTTTAAAATGAATTTTTGTATGTTGCAGTATGATTTTAAAAAAAGTCATTTCTGTTCAATTTCTTTCTCTCTCTTTTTCTTTTTTTGATATATCAATTTTTAATAAAAAGGAGAAAAAAGTTTAAAATAAGTGTAAGTTTTTTTCTTTTTTTGGGAATGAATTCTAATAATTAAAAGTATTTAATTTTCTGTAAATATTATACCAAATTTAATGATAAAATAATTTAGTACTTTGAACATTAATGTTTATAATAAAAATTATATTTGCCGTCAGCATGTCTAAAGACATATGCAGCCCTTCGTTATTTAACCTGCTGTGCAAGTGGCTCTTCACTCGAAATGATTGTGCACCCCTGCTTTAGATTGCAAACATAAAGTCCTGTGTCTAAATGCTAAATTTCAAGAATAGTAGATAGCTCATAATTCTTTGCAATTTTATCAACATTTAAGTTTATGCTTTTATCAACTTTTTTTCTTTTATTCATTCTATTTATAAATTAATAAAAGTCTATTATAATTTGAATTTAATGTAATATAACAAAATAAAATGTCTCTATTTCAATATTATGAAAATTAAAATAATAATTGTTTTATGAGGAGATTACAATGAGTATATTTCAAAGTTAAAATAATACATTAAAACACAACATGGAGATAAAGTATAAATTTATTTAAAGCAAAAATTTTATTTATTCTTTTCAAAACAGTAATTTCTACTTCTAAAAAAATAATTGTTAACTATACATTGATATTTGTTGCTTATATTTTTTATTAAATATATGTTAAATTATCATATCAAACATATACAACAAACATTAGACAGCAATAACTTACACTTGCCAATTTTTTTTATCATGTCTGGTTGATAATTTATTAAAGCAAGACATAATTAAAATAAAAAGGAAATATTCAATGTTTTAATTTTCCTGAGTTTGTTGTTGTTCTCCAATACAAAAATAACAATAATAAATTATATACAAATTAGTTTTTTTTTTTAAATTTAATGTTTAAAACTTTATTTAATCATTGATTATGCAGGTTCTACTTTTTTTATTACAATTTCAATTATTCAAAAATAAAGTAGAAGTTATCTAAGCAAGATTATTTAAAATTTGAGTCTAATATATTATCCATTGTTAATACTAAATTTTACAAAAAAATAAAATTAAATCTAAACACAGGCTTGTGAGAAACATTGAGGAATGTTTGAGTAACATTGTCAATGAATTATAATTCAAAATGCTTGTCAGAAACATTCCTTTCAACAAAAGGAAGAAAAATTACATTTTAAAATAATAGCTTTATTTATTTATTTAACATTTATTTATGAGTTTTCAGTCCCATATATCAGTAAAACTTTTTCTAAGCAATTGTTATTCGATTGATGTTTTTTTTACTAGAATGGAAAAAAAACTCATGGATAAAAATTTTAAGATATGTTTATGAAATAGTAATTAGTTTTGTGAATTCAAAGAAATTAACCTGTCCTAAAGTAATTTGTATAGATTTTCATTATCTCCTTTTTCACTACTTTCTTATTTGCATTATTTATAAATGACTGCTTAAATTTCTTGCAAATTCTTTTCCATCTTTTTTTGTTGTAGATGTTCCTTTTTGTAAACATTAAATTTTTTTTTTCTTCAAGTTTTAAAATAATCTTTTGATGTTTTAGTTCTCATGGAAAGAGAAATTGTTATGGTAATTATTATTATTTTCTTTGTATCCCATTAAATAAAAAGACAATAAAATAATAATTTTTTTAAAAAAATTTTATGTGTTTCCTATTTTCAGTTCTATTTAAAAAATGAAACTGAAATGAAGTTTTGGAGCATCTTGCTTAATTTCTAGCAACTCTAATAACTTAATAATATCCCTCTCGCAATTCCTTAATAATATCCTTCCCGCAATTCTCCCAAAATTTTTTAAGTTTAGTTAAAACAAATGTTGCTAACAACAACCAAACTTAAAATTATCACAAATTTATCATATAACATAAGAAACTATACCTTAAAATTTAGCAATATTACACACATTTTGTCACATTCTTTATATTACAACGCAATATTTAAAAAATTATAAAGTATCCCCAATATTTTCCAGTAACAAATCTTGTAAGATGGATTGTATTGTGACACAAGGCAAGTAATATATTTAATTTTGAAATAATGTTAAAAAGGAAAAAATTATTTAAATTATAAATATGAAAAATATTAATTACTATTAGCTTAAAATTAATATTCAGGTATGTAAAATAGTTTAAAAAATAATGTTGCCCTTTTATAAATTAAACGCAAGTAATAAAGAAAGGAAGAAAAAACATATTTTTCTATTTGTATCTTTTTGTAAAATAATACAACAAATGTAGGGAAATATACAATAAATGAACCACCAATGCCATGCACCTTTAGATTCCAGATCAAATTAAAAATATTAGTAATTTATTATTAGAAGAATTTATAATTTTACTTTATATTTAAACAAAGAGATGAAAAAATTTTTTTTATTTGTAAATAGATAACTGGGTTTTGGTAAAATTTGAATTATTAGATTTTCAAACAATTTTCTTTTAACATCCATAGTCAAAATTCGTTTTTTTTCTTTCATTGTGTACACTTTCAGATATGCACCGAATAATGATGTTTTTTCAGATACAAAATACTTGGACAACTGAAAACTAATTATTTGGCCAACAAATAATAGTTTCATTGCTAATTAGATTTTTATCAAAAAAAAAAACTTTTTTTTTATACACAATATTTACAGATAATAATGTAAATGTATCTAAAGGATCTAGATCAATTATATTTTAATACAAAACCCATAATCAAATGAACTAGTCAAATTCAACATATACAGTAGGGAACCGATTATCCGGAACGGTCGGGACCATCGCTATTCCGGATAACTGATTTTTCCGGTTTTCTGAATCGCTACAAAAAGCCGTTTTTTATTGTTAAACCCAACTAAAAAAAAAATTTGGAAATAATCTTAAAAATAAGAAAAAACGATGAAGTAATACACTAATGATTATTTCCAAAATGATGGTAAAGTAAACATCTTTAAAAAAAGAAAGAAAAATCGTAAAATCTTACGAGGGAAATTTTTTTTTTTTTTAAATGGCGAGAAAATTTATTGAATTTTGTTCCGGTTTTCTGATTTCCGGATAACGGGTTCTGTACTGTATATGTATGATACTTTAACATTATTAGGTATATTATGCAATATGTAATCACTGTCTGTGGTTCAGATTTGGCATATTAAATCTTGAATTTAAATTAAATGTAGAAGCATGTATATTATAAATTATAAGGTTAGCAATTTGTCTGGGTGAAACCTATTTCTTCCAGGATGCTAGAAAAAACTGAGGAAACCGAACAAAATAGAAAAAACTAAAAATGACCAATAGAAGTGATTAGTGATAAATATCATAAGAATAATTTTAAAATAAATTTAATATAGTACAAGAAAGTTAAATTTCTTTTTAGTTTTTAAAAAAAAAATAATTTTATACTTATTGTAATTTTAAAAAGAACTTAAAACTTATGTAGCATTAATCTAAATTATTTTAATTTGTGTATTTAAGCTATCCTTATTTCTTAAAAAAAAAAAAATTATATCTAAATTATGTGCATTTATATAATTTTCAGAATATCATGTTTTAAGATTGATTACATTAAAAAAAATACTTTGTAAAAATCTTTCTTAACTGCTTTAATTTTTATGAAAATTTTCCTTTTTTCAATATTAATGTGTTTTTTCAGTAATTTTATATATTATTTTGTTTATAATATACGAAACAGAAATTTTTTTTTAATTTTAAAAAAAGATAATATGCAACAATAAAATAACTGCCAA